AGCCCTAAACCCTTTTCAGCCGGGTGGCCTTGCTCTTTTGCACAAGCCAAGCCTGAAAAGGGTAACCAGAACCAAAAGGCACAACCAAATTTCACCTGAGGTTCACCTGAGGTTCACCTGCCACTTAGATTTAGATACTGGTTTGCTTTACAACCGCTGAGCTTCAGCTGCCTTCTTCGATACCCGGCTTGCCTCACGCACGAAGGAGCTGTCAGCCCAATGTGTCCAGTTGTTCGGTTCGGGGAGGGTGTGGCATTGCAATTCCTGGGTGTCCTGGGTGAGAGATTTGCTTCGGTCCTCGCTGGATATTGGAGCAACACTTTTTGAACATTGTCAAATGTCTGGATATATATATGCATGTGAATATATATATATATATATATATATGTATATATATATATATATATATGTATATATATATATATATGTATACATGTCCTCAATACAAACCCCAATGAGGCCAAGCATCTCAGCCATCAGCCACTCACTCAGTGCTCTGAATCAATCCGTGAGACGAGAACCCCAAGCCAGCCCTCAGAATATTAGAAAACCTGTACGAGTGCCAGGCCTTCAACCCGTCGCTCAAGACCTGCGTAGGACTAGAATGACCTGATTGTGCGTACACTGGATACTTTGACACAATTGGTCGTCACTAATTCCACGTCCCGAGGTTCAAGAAAAACCCAAGCCAACCTTTTGCTCCCGCCAAAACCCGCCAAACGCATTTGCTTCAAGATAGGGGACTTCCAAGCTTCCCTTCGGATCGAAACCCCCGCAACCGCCAAGATATTCATCACGTCGCGTCAAACTGTGCATCAGCTTTTTGCAAGCCCGCACTGAAAAGTCGCCACGTCTCCAAACCAACGCGACGCGAGGAAAGAAAAACAAGCGCGGCGTGGGCGTGCGCAGTCCCGCTTCTTCTCAGCGGCCAACTCCTTCCACATGCCCAGGGCAGTTCTTGCCTGGCGATAGATCCTCAACTTCGACCCGGCTTAGGGGCTAAATAAAGAACGCATGCCATGGGTCAAAACCCGAATCGGTTAGCCCCCAGTGAACGCCCGATTCAATCCAACCACTAAAATAAGTTCTGAAATGGTGCAGCTACCCCAAAATTGGATCCCATTGGTTTTGACCCACAGCCATGTCAGCTTCCCTCCAATTGGTGGTTTGGAGCCCGGCGGTTTGGTGATTAAGGAGGGGTTTCGCACTTACCCTCTGCAAGAACCAGGGGCTCAAATCCCAAACCACCAATCCAAACCAAACGGACTCACTCAGGTTGATATCAGCTTGGTTGCTGCTGTTGACCCCTTTGTAAAGAGTTGTTTAATTTTTTGTGGGTCCAATACAAAACCCGAACTATTTTGACCATCAAGTTAAAGTCCAAAGATCCAACCAAAAAGCCATAAGTAAGGGGCAAAGCTAGTAGCATGGGTCGGGCTGCGTTGAAACCCAATTTTGTCATGCTAGGGGAAGGTGCATAACTTTAAACCCCCTTATATTACCCATCCCCTTTTGGTTTCCTTTTGGGCAGTGAAAGGTCATGGGCTATGTAGCCCCAACCCTCCAAGTGTATGTAACCAAGAGTTAGCCTGGGTGTGTCATTTTTGCTTTGGGACACAACGTGGTGGGTGTTCCTTTTGGTTGCCCCTTCAAACCAACCAAAAGGGGATACCCTCAAAACGGACACGCCCACACAATCGACATATCCAGGCCGTGTCTACATTCAACAAAGTGAACACGCCAAGGACACCAGCAAACGTGTATAATTTATATGGCTGTGGCTCAAAACGTGTGCCAAAATGGCACCTCGGTACATGCAAACAAAGACTAAAACCTTACCCCAGCTGTTCAATCTTGAGCCACAAACACACATATAGGCTCAAATGCCCAGTGGCCATGGGAAAAAAAGGGGCATCCATTTTTGGTTCGTTGACTTAAAAGGGGAACTCCTCCCAAAAAAAACAGAAAAAGGAAGCAACCCACTGGGCAACTGGGCAGGAGTATCTTGGTTGACGTTGGAAGGGGACAAAAAGTTAAATCTTAGCAGTTAAGTGGGGATTTCCCACTAAACCGCAATAAGCACAAATGAAAAATGCTTCCCAACAACAACCATGGTATGCCTGAAGGAAAACAACAAGGCCTCGTTCCAGAAAAAAAACAAAAACAATCCCACCGAGCCCGCGGACTTGCATCGATATTTTTGGGGCTGTTGGCTCCAGAAGTGTTTTTTTATCGCTGCGAGAGATGCAGCGGCCCTGAGACATGGAAGGACCCCGGTATAAAAACCATCCCTGCCTGGTGGTTTCCTAGAAAACGTCAAAGCCTGGGTTCATTCAATCACCTCATCACTAGCAAGTTCCAAGAGGTTTGGCATTGCATCCTGCAGGTTTATCCAATTCCTTGACTGGAGACCCGGAGAGGATTGTGAATAGACTTGCCATTGACGTTGGGGAAACGCAAAGCAGTGCTTCATGGCAAGACCAAACCAACAACGTTGCAACATCGCCCGCCTTTTTCAGAGTGGAAGGTAATCTGTCGAACAAAACGAATCTGGCATGAAACACACACACACACACAACACACACGGACGCACAAGCAACAAACGCACACACAAAGCTTGTACTGATCTGCACTCATCCACAAACAAAAGAACAGAACCTTGTTTGGGTGCCCTTCAAGGCAACAACAAACAGAACACAACAACTACTAACTTGCGGCAATGTCGGCCAGTCCTAGAAGCAAGGCAACACAAGCCAATGCAGGTTGGGCGTGCTGCGTGACGTGAACATGAACACGGTGCTGAACATGTGTACTTTTTAAGCAAAGCCTTCCCCACGTCTCACAATCAAACACTGAGAACAATGTAGCTTGTAATTCTCAACTCAAAACAATCAACATAGAATGCATGCTGCCCTCAGATCCTCCGCTAAAAGTTTAACTTTTAGTGGGTTAAATTCGGAAGCTACCACTAAACACTAAAAGGATCTAAAAAGCTAAGGAATCGGATGGCTGGGAGCCACCAAGAGAATGCATGCTGCCCGTTGCCTTCTGAGGGGGTATTCCTTGAACAGCAACGCCCAAACAAGTGGTTTCCCCATGGCTAGTGGAGGTCTGGATCAGAGGGATACCATCCACAAGATGAAGAGGACAGCAGTCAGTAGGTGCAATGGCCTTTTTGAGTACACGCCTTCAGGTTTTGGTTGCGACTGATTTAAGCTTTGCATTGGCAAATGGGTAGCTGTTGCCTGAGCGATACTGTGGGCGAAACCCTGCACCTAAGGAACTCTGGAATGATTGGATTCTCCTGGAAGTACCGGTCAACCGTGGGCTCTTGGGTGATGCGAAATGGATTTCGTCCATCCACAGTATAACTGTGCTCCATTGCGACCACGCAAAAGTGCAAGGGTACTTTTGTCTGAAGCGAGTCTGGTCTGCCCCTTACTCCAAGCAGCCTCCCTTTTCAGGGAACTGTGTCAAGCCCAGGTGTATTTGCCCCGAAAAACCAGGTTTTCCGAAAATACCCAAAAGAAGCGGGCATTTCGAGTAAGGGGTACACTTTTTCGGGTGCCCAGACATATCTTCAAGAAGGTCGTCTGAAAACGCCAACCCTGTTCCATGCCAAGTGCGCGACTTTTTCTCCTGAAACCGCCTTCAACCACCGTCGCATCCGCAGCCACCGCCGATACGGCCAATTACACAAACCTGAAACGCCGGAGCCCTCCGAGCCATGCGCAATGAGAAGTCAGGGAAAGGGAATCTATATATGAACTCATACACCTGTGAGGCATGTAAAGATCCCACATGGACCATTTTAAGGTGTAAACCCAAATCAGTAGCCGTTCTGCGACTTGCTGTTTTGGCGAAACCGCGTGTTTAAGCTTCATATTGCAAGAAACGCGTACGGTCGAAATCATTCCAATCCTAGTAAACATCCCAACAATCCCTAGCGGTCCCTAGTGGCAGTTGCTGGCTTCAGGCTCCAAAACCTGCGCACCGATATTACAATTACCCATTGCAAACAGCCGGGATTGGCTGCAAAATTGGTGCAAGCAACCAGACCCCGGGTACCAAAGGCTGCTTGAACCTTTTTTAGGGCTTGGACCAACTCTACAAACGGCAGTACATGAGTACCAACAAAAGACACTGGAACAGCTTCTTGCAGGCTCGGCTTGTTCGCTTCCGGACTTTTGAGGAACTGCCAGCTTCCTTCCGTTGCCTCCTGTTCGCAACGACCGGGAAAACCACCCGCATCTCGAAAAAGGAAGAGGCTGTTTGCACGTAGTTTTATAAACACCCATGGTTTCTTCTTGTGTTTTGCTAGTTTCTTCTTTAAAACAAAAAACAACATGCACTTGTCTGCTGCTGGCCCAAAAAAGGAAAAAAAACAACAACAAACAAGACTTGTGGTCACTGCAATGTGCCTCTGGCTACAGAAGAAGGCCACCCTTTGGTACTCAGAAACACAGCTTCTCACTTGCAAAACATGCAAAAACATGCACCCCCCCCCGCAACAAAGAAAAACGAACCAGCCACTGCCTTGCCCAAGAGTCTTTTGTCTCAACCAAGTACTTGATACTACACCCGCACTGTGCGGCACAATCTTCGGTAACAGCTGCAGCCGCGCAAGGGTAAGTCTGTGCATCTTTCAAACCAAACAGAACCCTGAGCAATAGACCGGCTGGATATATCTGGATATCATGGCTGATATCTGCACGTCTCCGTTGGTCGTCGCTAGGCTTGCTGACATGTCTGAAGCCACTGGCCAAACTGAGAGTGAGACTGGCCACATTGGACAGATCGAACAAAGCTCTAAAGGCATCGCCTAGTTGGCCCCCTGGATTTCACGATTTCCAGTTTGGTCAATGCAAGTCTGCCCTGGCAAGCTGCGTGGGTGCCAATAAGACAAGGATACAGCATCTCATGACGTCATGGTTCCCATTTCAAATATGTGGAATGCATTCTGCGCCTCGGGTCAAATGGCCCCTCCAATCCAAAAGGCATCAGAGAAACAGCACTACGCAGGTGCAGTCGTCCACGTACGGGCCTGGCGCAGGATAGCGGACAGATGTCTCCGACCTCTGCTCTTCTTGATTCTTAACTGGCAGGGAGCTGTGACTGGAGCACGTGACACAGGCGAATCAATAATTCAAATGACCATGGGTCAAAATCCAGATCGTACCCCCAGTGAACATCCCAATCCAACCACTTAGATAGACGAAAATGGGTGGTGCGTGCAAAGATTCCAATCCAACTTGGAGTTTGCGCTCAAATCACCAGCATTGCCGTGCCCAAGCCGGCTTTGCATCCATGCTGGAAGCACAACTCCCGAATCCCCAAAATAAAGAACCGTGCTTTGGAGGACTTCGTCTCTAGCCTTTCTAAACCTGCCAAGCTTAGCGCTGGGCTTTCAAACGCTTGGCAAATAGACATAAGGGATTTCCCCACAAAGGGCCCTGACCATCTTTGACCCTTTTTACTACCACGAGTACTCCTCCTACTACTACTACTAGTACTTCTCCTACTTCTACTACTACTACTACTACTACCACTACTACTACTACTACTACTACTACTACTACTACTACTATTACTACTAGTACTTCTCCTACTTCTACTACTACTACTACTACTACTACTACTACTACTACTACTACTACTACTACTACTACTAGACCTCATTCACATTTAAGGTTCAGGTTTAGCGAACCCCCCGTTTAGGGTTTAGGTTTGGTTTTGAGGAAGTTTTGGGGTTTAACTTGCCCTCAAACCCCCCCTTTAGGGTTCAGGTTTAGGAGTTAGGGATTACTCTTGGGTTTTAACTTGCCCTCGAACCCTCACTTTAAGGTTCAGGTTTAGGGGTTTTCTTGCCCTCAAACCACCCGTTTTGGGGTTTCATTTTGGGGTTTAACTTGCCTTGCAAAACCCTCACTTTAGGGCGCGGAGAGCTTCACTTGTCACCTTCTAACTTCTGGCTGAGCCTCAGGTAGTCCAAAAAGATGCACATAGTGACCCGTCGAAAAGCCGCACCCTGCGCAGTTGTGCGCATCGGCGAAGGGCTTGCCGACGTTCTATGGGATATCAGGCGCGGGTGCTACAACGGTGGCAGGCGTGCGTCAGGCCCCGGAAGAGAGTCTTCGGGCAAAGCACAAGTGCTGGCCGCACTACTACTACTACTACTACTACTACTACTACTACTGCTGCTGCTGCTGCTGCTGCTACTACCACTACTACTACTACTACTACTACTACTACTACTACTGCAAAGGGATGCTTTCAGCATGGTCGGGGGACGGGGGGAGGTTGACCATGTAGTTCATCCGTGTTCAATGAGAGGCCATAAACTTTGATGGAGCCTCCCAAAAGGTGTTGATGGACACGAACCCCAACCAGAAGCATGTCCGCCAAATGATCCCAAAGATGCCAAGGAAAACGAGTGTGGCTCGAAAAGCACCTTGGTATGTGGAACCAAAGACTATCAGCTGCGTAACCCTACCTCTTAAATTTTACACCCAAACCCGGGTCTAAGCAAGCAGCACGCAACCGTGGCTCTGCAGAGCTGTACGCCTCGCTGTTGCCAGGCACGCCGTGCCGACGCAACCACCGCCTCCGCCGCCTAAAGGCTGACGAGCAGCCGGACTCCACGACTTGACGACATGACGACTCGACTTCGGCGACACGAAATGGGGTCCAAGAAATGTGTGGGTCAAAGCTGGGCTGTTTGTTCTCAGACTTCCCGCTAAAAGTGATTAACCTTTAGTGGGGTAAACTCGTACATCCTCACTATATGAACACTAAAAAACGAAAAAGCTAAGGGGATGGCTGGGAACCACCAAGAAAATAGAAAGGAGTCCACTTCAAAATGGTGGTGACCCTCTTTTGGTCTCCTTTTAGGACCACCCCCTAACTTTTGGAAGGCTACCGTCTCAAAAAACACACTCCGATGGGTTCTGGGATGCCACAGACATGACTGTCGTTTGGTGCAAGCTGAAACCCGTTCGATAGAACCCTTCTTAAAGCCTCCCTGAACATGAGAAACTGGTTGAGCAACTGGATTCCTCACAGCGGCAGCTGCTCCCTTGATGCTCCCTTAAACGCGACCACTGAGTGGAAAAAAACAAGATACATGCCAGCGATAGCAACTCGCCTGTAGGAAGCCAATCGCAAAACACTAAATCTTCACACTTCAACATGCCCGTCGCTGGGTCCAGCTAATCGAGCAGTCGCTCTCTCAGTAACATCAATTTTAGGTCTCACATTTGATTGGCTGCGTTGCCGCCTGTTGACGCTTGCACTGAGCGTAAGCTATGTTTGAAGGGACTACTTTTACCAAAATCTATTCTATTGCAGAACAGCGAAATCAAGCACCTCAAAGGTGCTGGGCTCATTTGAGGAACTCGCATCTGAGCATCCCTTGCTGCATTCAGAATCTTCGCTGCGCAGCCTGTTGCCCCTCGCCTTCATACGGTTGGCAGCTTGTCTACTTCGGGCAGCTTCACGCAT